AAACGGAACTGACCCCTCGCCAGTTAACTGCATACATGCCCCGTGTACCCATGTGTGTAGAGTGTAGAGTAGGTGTGCAGGGAATAAAGTAGAGTAAGCCTCACGCTGTTCTAGCCACATTTTCTGCTTAGTATCTCCTGGGACAAAGGGTACCCATTTTTAAGACAGTAAGCCAGAGATTAATCTAGTTTTGTTTTGTTTTATCTCGAAGCGTACGTGAGGATGGGGGCAGGGAGTCAGAAAAGAAAAAAAGACTCTTGGCCTTTCCAGCTACATCAGAACCTCAGAGTCAGGCCAAGGATTCTGAATTTTCCCAGGCGCTCAAGGGGATTCTTTTGCACCTTAAAGTTCAGAATCAGCAAAAAAAAAAAAAAAAAAAAAAAAAAAAAGACTTCGGACCCGGGACCCGTGACTATGAGAGCTAATAGGTCACAACATTCTCAGGCTGGTTTTTTATATAAGAACCATTAGAGATCAGAGCCATGAAGGTGTGAACAGACTGGACAGAGCATCGAATATAAGAATGAAGCGTCTGGAATTCTAATCTCTGGCGTGAGAGTGTCTGCGGCTAAAAGCAAATTACGTTACTTCCCTGGGTTTCTTTGGTCTGCACAATGAAGGGCTTGAACTTCATCACCCAAGTCCTTTAAAGCTTCCGAGTCACAGAACTGAAGCCGATGCACGGCTGAAGGGCTCAGTCCCGGAGGTGCAGAGGTGGAGGTTAGCTCCACCGCCTCCCGCGCACCCACCTCGGGCAGGCTCCCCATCGCCAGGTAAAAGCAAGAAGGCGGAGACGCGGCGCTCCAGGCCGCTACCTGCACCGCCCAGCCTGCCCCCAGGCTAGCGCTCTCCTCTCTCCCCGCCCCCCAGAACTTGGACCAGACTGCGCGGGCTCCCGGAGGGAAGCGGGTACCATTACCCGAATGCGGCTGCAGGCCCGGCACGCGAGACCTGGTTCCCGGGCTTCAGAGCCGAGAGGAGAATCCGCAGCCTCCGCAAAACTTGGCTGTTCAGCGTCGCAGCCATGCTCACAGGTGGCGCCAGGCGCGCAGGACGCCTGCGCCGGGATCCACCCGCCGCCCTGGGAAGGCTCGGCTGCCCCGCGGGGGGAGCAAGCCTGCGCCCCTCCCCACCTGCTGCCTGAGCCCCAGCCCCACTCGCGTAGTCGCTAGAAAACACGCATGCGCCGAAGACTGCTCCGTCCGGCTGCCCGGGAACACGCATGCGCAGGGACTTCTGACTGGAGATGGCGTTCATTGGTGACGTTTCGCCAGCCTAACTTTTATCACTCCGGGGTGCTCAGCCGCGTAGTCCACTGGGTTGTTCCTGACCCTTGACAGAAACTGGACTCTGGGTCCCACGGATACTGCAACACAGATGTCTTCTCTCGGGGTGCCAGCTCTGGCTCACGAGGAGCGCGTCCCAGTCGGCTCTACCTTACTCGTTGCCACGGTGACCCGCCCCTTCAAGGAGGCGAGCCCGCATCCGCCCATTCCGCCCATCTCTCAGGGAGCGGGTGCCCAGGCAAGGCGGGACTCGGGAGGGGTGGGTGGAGAAAGGGGGGTGCTCAGGCTGGCTGCTATCGGTGGGGTGAAATGCATTTGCTTCTAAGACTGTTGGGATTAAAATTTTCCTTCATAAAATTTTTCTTCATCTCACACCCATTGGTATAGCTATTACCAAAAAAAAAAAAAGGGGGGGGGAATCCAGAAAATAATAAGTATTGGCGATGATGTGGAGAAATTGGAACACTGTGCACCATGTAAAATGGTGCCGTGGCAATGGAAAACAGTATGGTGGGTCCTCAAAAAATTACACCGAGAACTGCCATAAGATCCAGGAATTCCACTTCTGGTTGGAGGTACAAGAATTGAAAACAGTGTCTCAAAGATATTTATACACCCATGGTCATAGCGTTATTCACAACAGCGAAAAGGCGGAAAGCAACCCAAATGTCAATGGAGGGATGAAGGTATAAATGTGTATATATATAATGTTATACTGTTCTTTAAAATGGATGGAAATTCTGACATACGCCATAATATGGATGAACATTGAGACATGATGCTAAGTGAATACGCCAGTCATAGAAGGACAAATACTGTATGATTTCATGTGTATGAGGTAACTGGAGTAGGCAAATTCAGAGAGACAAAGTAGAAAGGTGGCTTGCCAAGGGCTGGTGGGGAGGGGAGAATGGGGAGTTAGTGTCTAATGGGTGCAGAGTTTCAGTTTTGTAAGATGAGAGGCGTTCTGGAAATGGAAATGGTGGTAGTAGCAAGATGATGTGAGTGTACTTAATGCCACTCAACTATCTACTTAAGATGGTAAATTTTATTAGTATTTTATCACAATTAAAGTATTTTTCTTCTTCAGATCATATAATTCAAGCTTTCTAAAGGTTATAAAACATTGCCTGCATTCACAATTCAGGAGAAAAAACTGGAAATAACTGGCAGATTCACCATCACTGTTTATCCTTGGCTCCAATTATTCAGAATAGCAATAGCTTCCTTGCATATTGCATTCTTTATCCTCCACTGTTAGACCCCGCTGTTGTAATAGCAGTATCCTCACTGGCCATTTGAGTTTCTTGAGCAATAAAGGCAAGGCTGGCCTACAAATGGATTATGCAAAAATATTCTCTCAACATTAATGTGTCACATCAATTTCCCGCATAGAAGGAAAGAGAAATAATTTCAGCTGACTACTATCATCTGACTTTCAGAAACCTTTGGTGGGTCAACAATTCCTTATTTTTTCCTGAGATGTTGATTTGGGATTTCTGGTCAGAGATCATGCGAGTAAAAACAATTGTACAATTTTAACATGCTACCCTACCGAGAAGCAAAAATGGTAGCACTGTGAGGCTTTAGGTTATTGGTGTCACAGTTGATTTTTAAGCGCATACTTGAGAACTAGTCCTTTATGCATAACACTATTGTACAGTTTTTCTTTTTAAAATTTTATTTATTTATGTGACAGACAGAGATCACAAGTAGGCAGAGAGACAGGCAGAGAGAGAGGAGGAAGCAGGCTCCCTGCTGAGCAGAGAGCCAGATGCGGGGCTCAATCCCAGAACCCCAGGATCATGACCTGAGCCGAAGGCAGAGGCTTTAACCCGCTGAGCCACCCAGGCACCCCACTATCATACAGTTTTAAAAATAACTTTGTGCCGGCACCTTATGATACATTATTTTGGTCCTCACATCAACTTTATTGCTCTATTTCTAGAAGAGAAAATTGAGGCTAAGAGAGGTTAGGAAGCAGGCCCTCCGTACCCAGCGAAAGAGTAGCAGAGGAGATTTTAAGCCTGCTTGGCTCCACAACCTGTACTTGGATTGTTATGTTATGGAACTCACTGGAGTAACATTAGGACTTCAATGATTATTTCTTTATAATCAGATACTTCTAAAATCTTGACCAAATAGACACCTAGTTTTGCTTTGATTTGTTCTTTTGTTGTTGTTTTCTTGACTTAAGTCCCTTGCAGTGAAATTGCATATTAACCCTGCCTGACTGCAATGGGTAAAAATCATTAATCTTTCACTTCTTACTTTTTTTTTTTTTAAGATTTTATTTATTTATTTGACAGAGAGAGAGAGATCACAAGCAGGCAGAGAGGCAGGCAGAGAGAGGAGGAAGCAGGCTCACTGCAGAGCAGAGAGCCCGATGCGGGGCTCGATCCCAGAACCCTGAGATCATGACCTGAGCCAAAGGCAGAAACCCACTGAGCCACCCAGGCGCCCCTCACTTCTTACTCTTAAAACACTAAAACCTAATGGGTTAAAATAAACTTGAAATTTAAACCATGATGTTGTATTAAATTCAGTTTTGGCAGTTAGTAGATTTTTTTTTTTATCCAACAAGAACAGATGTGACTAAAATAATTGATGTTGTTGACATGGTTACGCTTGTATGGCGAGAAACCAATATTAACAATATCATCTACCACTGCACATTCCTGGCAAGGAAGTTTTTACATAAAGTCAGGTTGAGCTTGTCTTCCATTGTAGGGTCACAGCCTGCTGCTGACAGAGCCCATTTTTATCTGCAACTGGCTAAGTCATTTATCTTAGTAAACACCTACTTTTATTTATATTATTGTAAGAGAAAAACCTTTACAAATAAGACACATTAAAATGCACATCGAAATACGATTTAAAACATTTCCTGGGGGCTCCTTGGTGGCTCAGTCCAAGCATCTGCCTTTGGCTCAGGTTATGATCCCGGGGTCCTGGGATGGAGCCCCACATCGGGCTCCCTGTTTGATGGGAAGCCTGCTTCTCCCTCTCCCACTCCCCGTTTGTGTTCCTGCTCTTGCTAGTTCTCTTTCTGTGAAATAAATATTTTTTAAAAAATATTTAAAATTTAAAAAAAATTTAAAATTTAAAATTATAAAAATATTTAAATTTAAAAAAAATAAAAAGTAAAACATTTTCTGAGAAAGAAAGAACTATTCTGGAAGATCTAACGTCATATGATGGACCCCAAACACATATTGTAAGCATAGCCAAGTGGAAAATCCACTGACTGCACAAGACTGTAAGAGTTGGGAGGGAGCGTTATTTACCAGTAGAAACCTTAGGGTGTGAGTATCTTTTCTGAAGCCAGGTATGGGTAGTTTTCTTTCTCATTTTGTAGTCCGTGTCATCTCACTTAATTAATTTTCTGACCAACTGATTTTCTTGTATTGAAACTCTTCAGATACAAATTTGGCTCTTTTCAGCCCAGTTTTAAGAAAGTGGGGGCTAAAGGGAAGATTTCCGAACCGTGTTTGAAGGACAGTGGGGCTGCAGGCTCTCAAGGCAGTGTGATTTCATCCTGAGAGCCAAAAAGCTGTCCAGAAACTTCTCTTTTTACTATCAGCTTCCTCTTGCCTGCTAACAGAGGAGGGTGAAACAGAGAATACATATAGGAAATGCCAACCTAAGTGAAGAAGCCCAAACGGTTTCATTTATACAAACACATCATTTCAGTATTTGAGGTACAAAATTTTATTTTTAAAAGTCCATTAAAATACCTTTTTTGCCTCTAAACTTGATCATCCAATTGCTTTAGAATTTAAAGAATTTAGACACTTAGGACAGAGGTACAAGGGATACATTTAGAAAAGCAATCATCACTCCTCTCTAGCAAAGCCTGGGACTCTCTCCATCCAATTTTTGTTTTGGTCTACATGATCTAATGCTATGTGGCAACGAAGTAGTGAGCCTGGATTTGTATGGATAAGAGACTGAGCTTCATTACTTTGTAGCAGTGCTCTTCTCAGCTGCGGCAATTGGGCCCTTCCAAGGAGCATTCACAATGTCTCAAGACATTTTGGCTTGTCCCAGCCCAGGACAGGAGGAGGGAAGAATGGCACTGTTGGCTTCTAGTGGGTAGAGGACACTTTCAGACATCCGGATCCTACAGTGCTCAGGACAGCCCCCACAACAAAGAATTATCTGGCCCAAGATGCCAATAGTGCAGAGTTAAGAAATTCTGTTTTATAGTCCCACTTCAAGTGGAGGGGTGTGTGTGTGTGTGGGGGGGGGTATGCATGTGTTTGTCAGCTGGGGCTAGAGGGATTTTAGAATCGGAACCATAAAACTGTTATCAGCCCACCAGACCGTAGAATCTGTTCAGACATCCTGAGTCACCATACTGCATGTATCACTCCCTCCTTCCTGGAAGGGCTGAGCACAATGACACACCCTCTCTGTTTAGCCACGTGCAGGCAATGATACCGAATGGTTTGCTTGCCTTCAGTCTTCTAGTCTTCTGGTCTGAGTTTTGAGTGGGCTTTGAAAGGTTGAGTGTTAGAGGAGCAGTTATCAGGCTTTGAAGCGTCCTTTTTTTTTTTTTTTTTTTTTTTTAAACATCACAGGTGCTCACAGAAAAAAATGAAAATATTTCTACAGCATCCTGGGGTAATCTGAGGAAGCCGCTCGACAGTGATCAGCCCTGAGGCTCCAGTCACAAAGAGGTATGAAGAGATCAATACATACATGCTAGGAAAGTATCAGAATGCTAGGAAAGAACTTAAACACTTCATTAAGAATTGATGTAGTCACCACAATTAGTAGCAATTCCTTGCAACAGCCACTGGAAAATCCTGATATTTTTGTTCTCTATTATTTTTTTTCTGTTTTAGTACTGAAAATCCCTTCAGTTAATTTATGGAGTGGAGACTACATGTAATTCTTGAAGCCTGTACTACCTGACACAACATTTGATACTGAAGTTAACAGATCTTGTAGTTTTGGAATGAACTGTGGCTAGAATACAAAACAAAACAAAACAACAACCAACAACAAAAAAACCTAGTTGAAGAGAACTCACAATTTCACCGTACTTTGGTTATAACAGGAGTCTTTATGGAAAAGAGAGCATAAAATAAGAAGGTTGACTTTGTTTGTGTCCCCTGAAATTTTTTTTTTTTCCTTGCTGGAACAAAACTCCAGGAAAGTAAATGAATGATGTTGTTGAAGGTTATGGAATGAACTGAAAGAAAATTATCTTTCTCAAACATCTCTCTCTCTCTTTCAAAACCCAATTAGGCTTCTTTCTGGATTGGGCCTTGGCCATTAATAGGTCTTCCCGGTTAGTAAGCTGTTTGCTGTAGATTTCTTTCCCATTCTCCAGCTATGGAATGCAGGAGATTTTCATGCAGAGAACCTATATCAGTGAGGAAAGAATTCTGCAGGATCAGAGGCAGCACACTTTCAGTGGGTTACTTACTGGCGAGGAGATGACCTCATGCTGCCATAGCCCTTCCAGGAGTTAACTCTGGCTGATACGTACCAAATAGTTCAGGAGGTCTGTTCTTGAACACTGGTAGAGCGCATAGGCCAGCTTTCCCACCGTGGCCCCCTTATTGCCTTCCCTCATCTGCCACTTTTGGAGCATCTGGTAAACCTTTTCTTTTAGTCCATCTCGCTCATAGTCATGGTCAATTTCATCAATCTGAGGTTCAGTGAAGCCCAGCTTACGGGCACAGTTTTTCCATTGCTTTCCCAGATTTTCCCTGACTGGATCCAGATGTTTGTCAGTCAGACTAGTGATATTTTCTGCCAAACAGAAAAGAGAAGAAGGTATCAGGCTATAATCCATTTGAACATTCTAGTTTTAAAAACCCATATAAAGAGTATCGGGAGACAATAAAAAAGATAACTTCTTAATTATGAGTTGTTGACCCATGAGGTGATACTTTATGTTTCTGGAAGCCCATTTGGAGTATTTATGTGAAGACAAAAGAGAACCTCTTCCTCCTAGCAGATTCCTCTCTGAGCCACAGCTGATGGCTTTGGGAATGAAAGCCCAGCTTGGCTATGAAACTGTTCTATACAACCTTATCCAGTGGCCCCGTTAATATCAGACCTTCCTGATGTGAAGAGAAAAAAGAACCATTTTTGTTCCTTTTCGTATTGTCTATTTATATCTGGCTAGAATCAAGGTCATCCAACTCCCGATCCCCTGCACCCAACAATTCATTTTCCTCTTAGGGAAGTCAAGACCATCAAGGGTGAACTCATTCAATTACAGTGCCTTCCCTTGTCTTTTAAGGAATGAGGTATCTACTTTTCAAGATCTGTTTTGGGACTCCTCTCTCCTCTACCCTAAGTGCTATCTTCTCTTCTCCTATAGCCATACCCTCACTTTCTACTGGTCCCTTCTCCTTAGGCCTTCATAAAAATAACAAAAAGAAACTAAAGTATAAAACCACCATCACATACATTTTCCTCGATCCTCATCCTACCCCAATAAGCCAAATATAAGGAAAAAGACATTTCATTCCTGCTCTCCTGCCCCACCACCAACTCCCATTCTTTTCCTAGCACCCCACAATGCAGCTTCTGTTACCACCACTGGATGGCAGCAGTCCAAAAACCTCCCAAGATATTTGCCAAGTTTTGTCAATACCTCTCCGGGAGAGGGACCCTGGTTTCATCAGATTCTCACAGGAACCTGTGTCACCCGAAAAATTAGGAACCTCCTCTCTAAGGTGGCCTAGTCTTCAATTGGATTAGGCTGGGGATTGGTAAACGATGGCCTGTGGGCCAAATCTGGCCTGCTGCCTGTTTTGTAAAAAAAGTTATATTAGTACACAGCCATGTACATATGCACATATCGTCTGTGACTGCTACTCACTACCATGTCAGCTGAGTAGTTGCAACAGAGACCTCAGAGCCAGTGAAACCTAAAATATTTACTATCCTGTAAATAAGATAGAAACATTTTGTCAATCCTGGGGTTAATCAGAAGGCCGGGTCCTTAAATCCTGTTGTTTTGGCCTCATGCCTGTGTTCTTCCCACTCCCCCACCCCCACCATTGTGTTTTGGGATTAATGTTATGAGTGGAACCCTATAAGACTTACATATGAGTTACATAGTTACATAAGTTACATGTAAGTTACATAGTGGAACCCTCTAAGAGAAAGCTCTCTTGTTTTTATTACAGAGGTGCTGTTGAGGGCATAGTCTTCTATCTTGTCAGAATCCCTTTTGATGAGATCGGAGGGAGCTGCCTCTCCCAGGTCTAAGTAGTGATATTGGTCCTGATGATGATGGTGATGATGATGGTGATGGGTTCAACACTTTCATAGACCTTACTACGTGCCAGGCAGTGTTCTAAGCTCCTTATACATATTGACTCATTTAATTTTCATAACAAATCAGTTAATTAGATATTGTAATTATCCCCTATAATAAACATAAATAAATCACAAAGGAATTATATGGAAATTACAGAGACATGTTATAGAGAAAACATGGGGCAACTTTCAGGGAGAATAATCAGAGAAATTTCAGGATTCCACAATATCCCTCTAAACAAGTAAGAAAGTTCAAGGCTGCTAGACGACAGGTCCTTAAAGGAAATCTTACCAAAGATATCGTGGTACTTAGCAGCTGGCTCTTCTTTCAAGTTCATGTCCAGTGGCACTGAACTCATTCCACTAATCTCCATGTAATTATGTTCTCCAATCTGAATGCCAGTACTGTTGTGTATGGAACATTTCACAGACTCATCTGAATGGAGTGAAACACACAGGTAAGTATAGCTAGATCGAAAGCAAGAGATATAAATACAACATGGGTAAAAGGGCAGAGCTTTACTCCAGAGGTATATTAAATTCTTTATCCTATGCCAACCTTTGTAACTTTCTTCTTTAAAATGTAGCTGAACCAACCTCACATCCATCAGGACAACTACTATAAAAACAAAACAAAACAAACAAACAAAAAAAGAAAGTAACAAGCATGTGGATGAACTGGAATCCCTGTGTGCTGCTGTTGGGAATACAAAATGGTGTGGTAAACAGTATGGAGGTTCCTCAAAAATTAAAAATAGAATTAGCTTAAGATCCAGCAATTCCACTTCTGGGTATCTACCCCAAAGGAACTAAATGCAGGGCCTCAAACAGATATTTATACACCCATATCTATAGCAGCATTATTCACAAGAGCCAAAAAGTGGAAGTCACCAGTGTCCATCAACAGAGGAACAGAGGAACAGATAAACAAAATGTGTTATATACTGACAATGGAATATTATTCAGCCTTCAAAAGGAAGGAAATTCTGACGCATGCTACAACATGGATGAACCTTTAGGACACTGTGCTCAGTGAAATAAGCCAGTCACAAGAGGACAAAGACTGTATGATTCCACTTATATGAAGTACTCCAGAGTAGTCAAATTCATAAAGATGCAAAGTAGAATGGTGGCTACCAGGGGCTAGAGGGAGGGGAATGGGGAGTTAGTGTCTGATGAGTACAGAGTCTCAGTTTGGGAAGATGAAAAGAGCTCTGGAGATAAATGGTGGGGACGGTAGCCCAACATTTTGCTTTCATCACAAATGGCGGTCTTTGAGTTTTATAAGATAAGAATTAAAATATCCAAGACTTCTTTCTTAACCTTCAGAAAACAGCAAGCAAGTAAAAGAACTCAAGCAGTGACCTTCACTTCATCAGAGATTGGGTATAATGGGACCACTGTGATGCAGATTATAGAAGAAGATACCTACTGGTTACAAGGACCTGTAACCCAACACTTGTGGGCAGCTGCAAACTGAGGCCAAGTGATCTGATGGAGACTATCCACAGTTGCATACTGCATCTGGTAGCTGAAGGCCACAAGCAACTCACCCTTGTCAACTTACAGTCTACAAGAGAGCTAATGGCTGCTTTATTTTCAGAAACATTAAAAAAAAAATGGTGCAGCTAAAAAACTGTTTACCTCTTGGTGGGAAGGTGGCGAATGAAAGGGTGGGTGTGTTTCCCAGTAGGTTGGTCTCAGGCACTGGAGTTTTATGCACACTTGGCATATGGCTTGGATTTGGCCCATACCAAGCTCTTGAACTTGCTGCTCCCAGATCCTGTGGCCTTGTTCCAAAAGGGAATGGATTGTACAATCCATTGTTCCAGTACAGTACTTGGGGTTGGCTGGTTGGCCCCGTTGGTTGGTGTAGTGCATTACCAGGACTGGTTGCACTAGAGTAAGTAAGGCCTACTCCTGGATTCTGAACATTCTCGTAAGGTTTTGGCTGTGCAAAAGGGTCATGGGAGACCCTTCGTCTCCTTTCCTCCTCTCTATTATAAACCACATTCTGTCTGAGTGGTTTTGTCTGCCTGTCCATGCGGCTGCCATGAAGATGGTAGTTGGCTTCCTCCTGGAGTTTACTCTGCAAGCTGAGCTGATTCTCCTCCTGCTGGTTCTCTAGGGAGGGAGCAAACCAGGACTCCTCCACGGGACCTATCCCAAGTCCCTGGGAACTGTGCAGTGAGCTGGGTTGTTCTGGGGCTGAAAAGAAATGATCAACATTGGAAAGAGTTTCATAAGGCAACAAGAAGTAAAATAAAAGCTGAGCACCATCACACATCTGTATCTCAAAATAAAATACTGAAACCTTTGACAACAAATAAAAAAGCATTTACTTGATGGTCCTCTTCCTACAAGTTATATAGGTAATTCGTAGAAGTCCCTGCATGGTAGTGAAAGAGTGCTGGAGAAATTTTAACAGGCAACAGAAACGTGAGTGTCACGGGAATGACCAAGGAAGAAAGGGACTTGTTTTGTAGCAGAGAATGTGGCTGTCTCCTTGGTGTGATGCAGGGCTACAAAATGAGAAAAGGAGCAGCTTGGTGTTCAGTACTTCCCATGGGTTCCTTTATTCTTTAAAAGCCCTGTAAGAATAGGAGCAATTATTATCATGATTTGATGGACAGGGTTTACAAGAGGTCAATTTGCCTTAGAACAGATAGCTAATAAGTGGTTTCAATATCCTATACTCTGTTTTTCCTTTTGTTATAATGAAAAAAGTATACCTCCTTGAATCTGAGATCAGCTTCTCTGCTTGTTCTCTGGATCTGTTATCCCTGACCTCAAGGACCTCAAGGACACATGTCCCCTCTTGTTCCTGAGCCGTCACTTTCTCCCTGTCAGGTATGTTAGGCCTCTTACGTTCAGGATGCTTTGTGATTTTGGTGAATACACTGTTATTTACTATTTGAAATATATGTATGTTCACTCCCAAATATATTATAAATTCCTTTAAGGCAGGGCCTAAATTTTATAGCTTCTTCTGTTTCTTTACAGTCATGAAGAGTATTTCCTAGAAGAGAGTGAATGCATGAATAAGCAAGGGACTACATTACTTTCAATCATAGGATGTTACCTGAATTTGACCTGCTTGGAGGTATTGCTGTACAGTCAATCTGGAGAGAATGCATTCTCTTCACAAATGAATTCTGGACTGGGTCTGGATATTCTTTCTGTAATTAACAGCATAAATGTATACTTTAGTATAAATAGTAGAAAATAGTTCCAGAAAGTTCTCATAAGAAAAATGAATCTTTTCAAATGGTAAAGATTTCATATATCTCTTACAAGGAATAAACCTTTTTTAAAAAATAAACTTTTTTCCCCCAAATATCCAAAACAAGCTTAAAACGAAGAACACATTTGGAGGATTCAAACTTCCTGATTTCAAAACTTACTACAAGACTACAGTTATCAAAACAGTGTGGTATTGGTCTAAGGACAGGCAGAGACCAATGGAAGATAATAGAGAACCCAGAAATCAACCGTTGCATGGCCCACTGATTTTCAACAAGGGTGCCAAGACCATGCAATGGCCGAACACAGGATATCAACACCTAAAAGAATGAAGCTGGACCTTTACCCTTAGTACATACAAAAATTAACTTACATGGACCAAAGACTGAAGCTTAAGTACTCAAACCATATAAACATTAGAAGAAAACATAGGGGAAAAGATTCATGACATTCAATTTGACAATAATTTCTCAAATAGGACACCAAAAACAGACAACAAAATAAAAATAAATAAATGCAACTACATCAAAATTAAAACCTCTGTGCATCAAAGGACATTATCAAGAGAGTGAAAAGATAATCCACAGAATAGGAATAAAAATATTTGCAAATCATATATCTCTGATAAGGGATGAATATCCAGATTATATAAAGAATTTGTACAATTCAACAATAAAACATAAACAACTTAATTCAAAAATGACCAAAGGGCTTGACTAAACATTTCTCTAAAGAAGATATACAAATGGCACATGAAGAAAGTCTCAACATCATTAGTCATCAGGAAAATACTCCTCAAAACCACCATGTAAGATATATATGACATCATACTCATTAGAATGGCTATTATTTAAAAAACAAGACAAAACCCAGAGAATGTACAGTGTTTTTGAGAATGTAGAGAAATTGGAACCTGGTGCATTGCAGGCGGAATATAAAATGGCAGGGCCATTATAGAAAACAATTTGATGGGTCCTCAAAAGTTAAACATAGTATTATCACACAACGCAGCAATTCCACTCTCATGTATATACCCAAAACAATTGAAGGGAAGAGCTCAAAAAAAAAATTGTACACCAATGTTTCATAGCAGCATTATTCACAGATAAAAGGTAGAAACAACTCAGTATCCATCACAGCTGAATCAATAATCAAACTGTGATAAACACATAAAATGCAGAATTATTCAGCCTTAAAAAGGAATGAAGCTCTAACACAGGCTACAACATGGATGAATCTTGAAACCATTATGCTTGGTGAAATAGGGTAAACACGAAAAGACAAATATTGTCTGATCCCCATGTCTGTAAGGTACCTAGAAGAGGCAAATTCATAGACAGAAACTGGAATTAAATGTTTCCAGGGGCTGGAAACCCTTATTTTATGGGTATTGAGTTTCTGTTTGGGATTTTTAAAAATGTAAACGGATACTAGCAATGTCTGTACAAGATTGTAAGTGTACTTAATGCTACTGAATTGTACACTTAAAAATGGGTATGATGGTGGGTGCCTGGGTGGTGCGGTCCTTTAAGCGACTGACTCTTGGTTTCAGTTCAGGTTATGATCTCTGTGTCATGAGATTGGGCCCTGTGTCAGCGTCTGTCAGTACCCAGTCGGCTTAAGACTCTCTCCCTCTCCTTCTGCCCTCCCCCATCATGTGCACACACATACTCTCTAAAATAAATAAATCTGTAAAAAAGAAAAGAAAAAAATGGGTAAGATAGCAAGTTTTATGTTACATATATTTTACCAAAATATAAAAAAGTAGGCAAAGAGGGTGCCTGGGTGGCTCAGTTCGGCACAATCCCAGAGTCCTGGGATTGAGTCCTGCATCGGGCTCCCAGCCCCATGGGAAGTCTACTTCTCCCTCTGACCTTCTCCCCTCTCATGCTCTCTCTCAAATAAATAAAAAAGTCTTTTAAAAAAAAAGTAGACAAAGAAATTCTGTTTTGCTATAAAAGTGATAACTATCCATTATTAAAAATATAGAAAAGATACAGAATTATATTTTAAAAGAACCTACATTTACTGCCTCCACTTCAAGCACAAAATTATCATTTTGGTATTTCCTTTAAGTTTTTTTCTTAGTCATATTTGCGTTTTGCTTTAATATGTAGTGTTTCTTTTAGTCTTCAGTTTTAAATTTTTCTAAGTTCCATTGTGATTTCCTTTTTGATCCACAGGGTATTTAAGAATATATTTCTTAACTTCTAATCACATGAGATTTTCTAATTTTAAGACAACTAAAATAAATTCAGAGCATAACTAAATAAACCAGAGCATAACTAAAATAAAATCAGAAAAAATTCTTTATATAACTACAATCCTTTTATTTTATTTTTTAAAGATTTTATTTATTTATTTGACAGACAGAGATCACAAGTAAGCAGAGAGGCAGGCAGAGAGCTGCTGAGCAGAGAGCCCGATGTGGGGCTCGATCCCAGGACCCTAGGATCACGCCTGAACCGAAGGCAGAGGCTTTAATCCACTGAGCCACCAAGGCGCCCCATGATTACAATCATTTTAAACTGGTTGATAATTGTTTTATTTCCCAAGACATGGTCAATTGTAAAGTATGTTCTGTATGTTCCTGAAAAGCCTTTAAAGGTAAGTATTCTGCAATTATTAAATGTAGCATTTAATTTATTTCCATTCAGTCAAATGTTAATCATGTTCTTCAAATTTTCTACATCCTTACTAATTTTTTTTGTCCATTTGTTCTATCAGTGAGATATCTGTATTAAAATCTCCGATTTGTCTATTTCTCCTTTGAGTTTTGTCAAGTTTTGCTTTGTATATATTGAAACAGTGTTATTAAGGGCATATACATATTTAAAGCTGCTATTATCTTCCTGGTGAATTGAACTTTTTATCATTATGAAATATTCCTGATTACTATGGTAATGCTTAGACACCAAATTCACTGCTTCAGGTTGAGGCAGATACGGCTCCCATCTATTGCTTAGTGCAAGGGAATCAGGGGGAGAAGCCAACACTTGTAACTGTGTCAGGTTAGCATTTTCTTTTTCTGTTCTATGACTCAGCATATATAATTCTGTTGGCTTTCTGTCATTCAAGAATTCCTCAAAATGACCGATCCACCTATGGTACTTTTAATTCTATTCCAGTGAATGGGTCCAGTATGCCAACTTGATGATTTCTGTATAAAATTGCTAGTTTTGTTACATTGTGGTTATCAAGCTCGCTTACCTCAGATCTTGGTGACAAATATTGCTTTGATTTTCAAGACTGATAATATATATGCTTTAATATGTTAATGCATTGAGTACCTGCTAGGTTACCTACCTTTAAACTTGTCACATCGTCTTCTACATTTTCTTCTAATTGATCTACATAAAAAGGCCTAAATTTTTCTTCAAGGCCTGTATTAAAAAAAATAGTACTTTAAACTTCTTAGGTATTTTCTAAAGTAAAATTTAAATATTAGTAATCTATTATCTTTGAATTACTTACCTTAGTCTGTAGACAAAGCAGTAAAATAAAAATTTTAATGCCAGATCACCAACTTACATGAAGAGACTAATAAGCCTAATAACTATGGGGACAGAAGGAGGGACAAAATAACACTGGAAACCAGGAGATGCTGCCTAATAGCATGTTTCTGCAGCTGTAGCACAAAGTCCTATCTAATATGAATTCCTCTCCAAGTCAACAGGGATGGACGGACTGCTTGTTTCTCTCTCTCTGGAATCAGAATTATTATAGGTCAGAATACTTAGTATAGGGATTTAATAAAAAGAGTTAAAAGCTGCTAGCCTTAAAAGAAAAAGGCAACCTCCACTTTCAGGAAGATAGAGTAGACACACTTTTCCTCATTTCTCCCTCTAAGCACAAGAACCCCTAGATATCACACATGAAACAAACATAAAAAAGAGTCTGAAAGGAGGAAAGGAAAGGACAAACCAACTAGGGACTTTGGGATCTGAGGAAAGACATGGTGATGACTTCACCAGGATTTCTTTTTGCCTCTAAGATCCCAGACAAGGAAGCTGGCAACACAACAATAAAAACAAAAACAAAAACCAAAAAACCAAAAAACAAAACAAAAAAAACACCTAACAAAAGCCTGCTCTTTCTAGCCAAAGGACAAAGCAAGGGGCAGCCTAGGAAGACAGAGGACCTTTAGTCAATAACCATTCTCCAGCCAAACATCACAGAAAACACTGTGGCTCCAATCCTAACCTCACCAGCAAAGGCCAAGTAAGGAGACCTAAGACTTCCAACCTCATGCAACAGTTAACAGGATATTCCAATACCCCACCAGGGTGATGTCAGAGAAGGCCAAATGGGAAACCAGGGCTTCCCTTCCTGCCAGATGGTAATGAGCTTCTCCACTCCATAGTATCAATGGACTATGAGGGTAAACTGGACTCACAACCTTACTTTGCAGTAATAAGGCACTCCCACCCATTCTAATGGAGAAGTGTCAGGAGAGGCCCCACAGGGAGTCACAACTTTCACATCCACTGCAGTGTCCACGGAGACCAGGTGGACTCCCCTTGAACTTCTGCCCTGACCAGTACAAATAAAGAGCCCCTGCCCCGACTCAGGTGTCAACATGGCTCAGTAGAAAACCTGGACTTCTTTCTACCTGTCAAACAGGGTGGCAGCACCTTCCATTGCCAAAGCCATGTCAGAAATGGCCAGCTAAAAGAGAAAGCTTGAAGAAGATCCAGAATTTCCTAACATTGTAAGAAAATGTACAAGTTTCAAGCAAAAAATCACTCATCACACTAAGAACCAGGAAGATCTAAAACTGAAGGTAAAAAGACAATCAATAGATCCCAACACCAAGATACCAGAGATATTAGAATTCACTGTTTAAAACTTTTTAAACAGCCATGATACAAATGCTTCAATAAGCAATTACAAATAAGCTTAAAACAAATGAAAAAAGAGGGACACCTGGGTGGCTCAGTCAGTTAAGTGGTTGCCTTCAGTTCAAGTCATGACCTCAGAACCCTGGGATCAAGTCCCTCATCGGGCTTCCTGCTCAGCAGGGAGCCTGCCTCTCCTTCTGCCCGCCATTCCCCTTCTTATGCTCTCTCTCTCTCACTCTCTCTCACTCTCTCTGTGTCAAATAAATAATCTTAAAAAAAAAAAAAAAGAAAGAAAGAGGAAGTCTCAAGAAAGAAACAAGATATAAAAGAAAGTTCAATGAAATTTTTGAACTGAAAAATATAGTAAACCAAAATGGATGAGTTTAACAGCAGAGTAAAGGGGAAAAGGAAAATCAGTGAGCTGAAAGACAGAATGATAGAAATAAACCAATCTGATCAAGAGAAAGAAAATAAACTGTGGGGAAAAAAGTGTAGAGAGCCTCAGGGACAAGTGAAACTGTAACAAAAGATCTAGCATTTTTGTTATCCCAATCTCAGAAAGGATAAAGACTGAAAAAAGTACTCTAAGAGATAATGGCTGAAAGCTTCTCAAATTTGGGAAGAGACATACACCTACAGATTCAAAAATCAAAACAAAAACAGAATAAACCCAAACAAATTCATACCAAGACAAATAATAATTAAACCTCTGAAAGATAAAGAAAAAGAATAAGTTGTGAAAGCACCCAGAGAAAATACCTTACCTATAGGTTAAAAAAAAAAAAAAAAAAAAAGGATTTCTTAACTAAAACCATGGAGGCCAGAGTATGTGGCACAGTATTTATTAAGTCCTAAAAGAAATGAATTGTCAACCCAGAATTCTATACCCAGCAAAAAAAATCCTACAGAAATGAAAGTAAGCTCAAGATAGTCTCAAATGAAGAAAAACTATGATAATTTGTCCCTAGCAGACATACCCTAAAAGAATGGCTAAGGGGAACTTCCTAAACAAGAAGGAAATGATAAAAGAAGATACCTCGGAATATCAGGGAGGAAGAAAGAACACATGTGGTGTAATTAAAAAATAAATATTTGTTCTTTTTCCCAGCTTCAGCTGGTTCACATGGCAGGGAGCTCTCAATATCCCTGGGATCCCCTAAGCAGTAAGAATGTCTTTTCTAAGTTAATGAGACAGCTCCTGGCTAGAGGGATGAGGTAAAGAAGCTAGATAGCTTCAGGATGGGAGCTTGTCACCAGAAACACCTAGTTATGATTATAAGATTGGAGCTTTCAGTACCACTCTTTGACCTCCAGGGAGGGGAGAGGAACTAGAGATTTAGTTCAGTCACCAATGACCAGTGATTTAATTCATATTGCCTACCTAGTGAGGCCTCCATGAAAACCTCTAAACAATGGGGTTTGGAGAGCTTCCAGTAGTGACTACATTAAGTGAGTACACTGTTAGGAAAGTGGCATGGGAGCTCTGTGGCACACCAATCCCACCACCAATAACTTAATGAATCTCTTCCTTTGGCTGTTCCTGAGTTGTATCCTTTATAATACCCCAGTAAATGTAAATAAAATGCTTTCCTGAGTTCTGTGAGTTCTAGTGAATTATTGAACCTTAAGATGGCATTATGAGGACTCTCAAATTTGTATTTGGTGGAGCATAAGTGTGGTTAGCCTAGGCATACTATCTGTACCTGATGTCTAAAGTGGAGACAGACTTACAGCTGGGCTAAGCCCTTAAACCTGTGGAGTCTAATAATAACTCCAGGTGGTTAATGTCAGAATTTAATTGAATTCTAATTGTGACACATTTAGTGTCAGAAGTAGTACTATAAAAAACACCCCAAAACACAGTAATCAAAAATATGGGTAAATGCAATAGGCTTTCTTTCTCTTTTTGAGTTTTCTAAACTATCACTAACAGTTGAAGCAAAACTGTAACAATGCTAATGTGTTCTAAATATATGTAGAGAAAATATTTAAGGCAATTTTATACAGAGGAAGGTAAAGGAAAATAAAGGAAGTAAAGTTTTTATACTCTGCTCAAACTGGTAAAATAACATCAGTATACTGTGATAAATTATGTACAGATAATTTTAACACCCAGAGTATCCATTGGAAAAACTATCCTCAAATATACTATCGATAAATTCAGGGGAGCCTGGGTGACTCAGTAAGTTAAGTGTTTGTTAATTTCAGCTCAGATCATGATCTCAGGATTATAAGATGGAGCCCCGCATTGGGCTCTGTGCTGGGGCATGAAGCCTGCTTAAGATTCTCTCCCTCTGCCCCTTCCCTGCTCATATGTGCATGTTCTCTCTCTCTAAAAAAAAAAAAGAAAAGAAAGAAAAAAATACTATTGATAAATTCAAATGGGATTCTAAAAATGATCAAGAATGCACAGGAAGGCAACAAAAAGAAAACAGAAATGAGACACAAAAAGAACAAATAAAAAGCAAAATAAAATGGCAAATGTGAGCTCTAACATATCAAAATTATGCTAAATTAATATGGTCTAAAAACACCAATCAAAAGACAGACATTGGCAGAACAGGTTAAGGAAACGTGACCAAGTACATGCTGTCACAAGAAACTCATTTCACATATGATTATAGACAATTTAAAGTAAAAAGATGGGGAAAGATAAATAAATATTAATAAGAGGAAAGAAGGGTGGCTATATTAATATCCAACAAATCAGACTTCAGAGCAAAGATGACTGCTGGAGACAAAAGGGACATTTATATAATGATAAAAGGGTCACTCCATCAAAACATAGCAATCCTAAATATATATGCACCAAACAACAGAGATGGCAAAATCTATAAAACAAAAGATAAAACTAAAAGCAGAAATAGGCAAATTCACAATATTAGTTGTAGACTTGAATATCTCTCAGTAATTCAAAGAACTAGACAGAAAATCAGCCAAGACATAAAAGAATTCAACAACATCATCAATAGGATCTAATCTAGATTTACAGGACACTCTACCCAATGACAGTAGAATAATCCATTCCTTTCAAGTGTCCACAGAACATATCCCAAGATACACCATATCCTGGGCCAAAAAATAAACCTCAATAAATCTGAGAGATGTTAAACACACCGAACATGTTCTCTGACTAAAATAAAATCAAGCCAGAAATCAGTAACAGAAAGATAACAAGAATAATCCAAACTCTTGGAAACTAAACAACATACTTCTAAATAATGCATAGATCTAAGGGAAAGTCTCAAGGAAAAATTAAAAATGCAATGAAGTAAATTTTCATTTACTTCATTTTTTTGTGGGACATAACTATAGCAGTGCTGAGAAGGAAATTTATGGCATTACACACACATTAGAAAAGAGAAAAGGTCTCAAATCCAAATTGGTAATCTAAGTTCCAACCTTAAGAACCTAGAAAAAGAGGAACAAAACAAACAAAAAGTAGAAGAAAGGAAATGATAAAGAACAGGAATCTATGAAATGGAAAACAAAAACAATAGGGGAAATCAAAGAAACAAAAAGCTGGTTATTTGAAAAGATCA